TTTTTCTTTCCTTAGCTTCTGACTAATTCTGAACTTAATATCCTACTGGTCCATCTGTAGAAGAAATCAACTGTTTGGTCATCCCCCCTCCCCCACCAACTAGGCTGATTTTCTCAGAATTGCTCATCTCCTCATGTGATCATATGGAAGCAACTGTTAATATATGACCCTGCCTTCTGGACCACTGATGAATCCACTCAACTTGGGTGAGGTACTCATATCTGGACTAGAGTGTTTCTCCAGTCAAAATGGACTTCAGTTTATCTGAGGAGATAAACTTGAGATCACAGATGGTGGCCATTTTCAAACATATGAACTTGGAAATAGAAACCGGTTGCACAGCAAGAGAAGCAGATTGGCAAGATGGGATGAAGAAGCTGAGTCTCTGGTTCCAATTCATTTTGGACACACAGGTCTATGCCTATTAAGTTCTTTGTGATATCTCTATATCCTTTTAATATACCCCTTATTGTTAAGCTAGTTCGAGTCAGTGTACTAATCACCAACCTGTTGTTTTTAAGCAAAAGAAACTAAGGCAATGTGAGTCCGGTTTTGGGCATCTTTTGCTTTTCTTCCTAGTTCTGCTTGTGTAAATTAACTCTAAGAGACAAAGGGGAGGAATCAAATAACAAGTCTTTCTTTTGGATACCTCTAAGGAAGAGTGCTTTGGGATGAAAAGGTTAATAGAGAACAATATCAATAGTGAAGCTGAAACGTTACTACTCTTCTCCCAGTCACCAGATAATTATTTTTATTTACGCCTTTCAGAAAGTCTTTAACTGAATGATCAGTTCATGTTAAAAAATGATTTCATATGTAAGTGATATATGTGTTTGACTGGTAAATTTTAAAATTTTAACAATTTACTAATATAGTTGATAACAAGATGTTGTATCTGAGTCTTAATATCTTCTTTCTACCAGTAGGAGCAAAATGTTAATTCATAGAGAGTATTGAAAATTAAATAGAATAAGGAAAGCTCATAATACAACATCAACATATTGCATGTTCCTATGATTCTAGGCATAAGAACGAAAGTTCCTTCACTTCAGTATTTATCAACGCACACACACTGTGCTAGACTGAGGGTATAATGGTGAACAAGACAAAGTCAATGTCTTCATGGGGTTTTTAGAAGAGAAGTGTAGGCAACTACCCTAAAGAGTTTTCATATACTTAAGAACTTCAGCCTTCTTGCTTGGTCTTAAAAATCGGAAAATATAAAACAATGTGGTGTCATTTAACCTTATAATCCTTCTAACAAGTAATTGTAGCACCCAAATCAGCTTATAAATGTAAAAAACACTCCAAACCCAAAAATAGTACATTACAAATGAAGCCATTTCACTCCTTAATTCATTCTAGATTTGAATGAACTTATCACCTAATAATCCTCACTTCTTGGAACCTTCCAAGATTTGTCCTAAGAAAACCATAGTAAAGATTTAAACCCTAGCCTCTCCTGCTAAGCGTTTATGGATGTATAAATGGAAGTGCTTCCTAAAGATCTGTGTCTCAAGTTATTAACAATTCCCCAGGCACTCTACCCACCACATGGTTCCTTTCCTGCCTGCCTCTCACCTTTCTGGACCACTGAGTCCCTCCACACTGTGACACATATAGTTACTCCAATGTAGGTCAGCACAACCCTTTGCCAAGACCAGGTGTGACTTACTAGTTCAGTTCATTTTTATTGCTAATGCTCAAGAAGCCACTTGGAAGCCTGGTGGGCACAATGAGTTTATTTCTCCATTTTGGCCTGTTTTACCTCCTTCATATATAATATAACAATACAATTAAAGTAAGAAGACAATTTTTTGCTATTCTTTATTACAGGAATTGCTTTGCTTCTGCCTATACGTAACCTCGTATCCACTTTGCTATACAATGCTACCCCAACGGTCACTACCTTCACCCGAAAACTACACCAGAGGTTGTGTCATACAGTCACAGTGACAATATGTGATGTACAGCTTATAACCCTCACAACGGGCAAAGCCATTAATTCTCATACTTGACTTGCAGTTTGTTTTTAGTTACAATCATTCCCATATCACACTCTGAAGACCTGCAAAGAATTATTTTTGCCACACACAACAATTACTGTAAGCACTGATAGATTCCTATTCCTCCTCATTATAATACATGGCTCCAAAATCGTGTTTTATGGCTAGTCCTATACTTTCTCCCCACACTTCCTTGCCCCATTTGCCTTCTGTCATAATTCTAGAGAAGATACAGGCAGGGAGAATATTATGTAGTTACCAGAACTGAAGATTCCCTTGGTGACATGAAAAGATCCAAACATTAGTCCAACTAGCTTGAGAGTGAGTGAGCCTTCCTTCCTGTGTGTGTTTTTTTCTTTTCCTTGTCTCCATTCTCTACCATGTGGTCACAGTCCCCATCCTGATTCAAAGACAGACAGACATGTATAATAGATGCACAATATATTACTGCGGCCCAGAGTTTGCCCCTGGCACGGTCACTTTCTGTCTAAAGGGTTCTTAACTAACAGTAGAGGCCCTGAGACATAAGCCCCTGCTGTAAAAATGCTGCTTGAGGAGGCGAGACAGGAGCGTTACACGAAACCCA